ATATGAAGACAATATATTTTTTTAGAAATTTATATATTTTTCTTCATATATATATATGTGCCATTTTCTTTAATGACTTTTTGTACTATTGTTGGTTGTAACCCTAAAAAGAACTCTTAAACTTATTTGTTACATATTTTAATGTCTACATCGTTGCTGTAGTAATTTAAATAGGCGTTCCGTCTGTCCGTTTGTCACAAGTCTGTATCTCGTGAAAGTTAGACAGTTGAAATCTTCACACATAATCTTAATGCTATATCAATAAATACTAAAAAAAAAACAGAATAAAATAAATCCGATATAATAATCGTGAGTTTTGCTTGTTTTCGATATGCAACGCTTGGTGCGTGAGTCCGTCTCAAACTTGGCCGGTACAAGCTAAAGAATAGCAATGATGCCTGGGGAAAACTAAAGAGGCGAAAATTGATAGCAATATGAAAGTGGAATACTTTAGAATGGAGCTATTTTATTAAGCAAGTTATTTTTCAAAATATTAATAATAAAATTGAAGCACTGAAGTACTATTTATTGAAGTACTTATATAAAAACATTGTATATAAAACTAGCGATAAATATAAACATACAAATTAATCAAATTAACTATTCTGAGCTATTGCATAATTAGTTCAATTTCCTTATAAATATTTTTATTCTAAATTTCGTAGGAGCAAATCTTGTAACGCAATGAAATTATACTTTGTTATGACTTATATGTGCTTTGTACTTCCGTAAGGGGTGGACTGAATTGAGAGCGAACGGTGTGGTCTGCGGTATGTCTTCGTGCCGTCTTCATGGAGAGGGACATCGTTGAGTTTTAGCTCTGCTATTTCAGGCGGACTCACCCTAGTATGGGGATAGCGGTGAGTCCGCGGGAAAGAGTCCCACTTAACCCTCCGAATACGCTAGGGGGAGCAGGTTTCGTCTCATCCCATTATGGATTCGAGTCCTATTACTGTGTGTCAGGGATAAAGTGGATTTTCTAAGTATTTTTCACTAAGAATTTCATGTTTCAGTATGCCATTGTGAATGCATAATTGATCAAATTTAAAAATACTATGTACTTGTACTTGAGCAATCCGTAATAGACCTCAGATCCTTCCCCCAATAGAGCACGGAGGGTGTTTAGTGGGTACGCCATTCGCGTTTTGACTAGCCTGCGAGCGGGTCTGTGCGAATGGAGAGTCCCACACACCCCCTGTCGTCTGCCAAGCAGTACTGCTCATGAAACATTATCCTTCGTCAAAAAAGTTTCTTTATACTTCAGTGCACCATTTTCTTGTTGATGATCATCAAATAATATGAAAGCGGTCTAAGCTCGGAGTCTCTCTGAGGGATAAAATCCGGAATGAGGTCATCCGGCAGAGGACTAAAGTGATGGATATCATCCAGAAATGTAGCAAGCTGAAGTGGCAGTGGGCTGGCCACATCTGTCGTAGAACCGACGAAAGGTGGAGCAGACGGGTTCTCGAATGGAGACCACGCCTCGGCAAACGTAGTGTCGGACGCCCCCCGGCAAGTTGGACTGACGACCTCAAAAAGGTGGCCGGCAGTAGCTGGATGAAGAAAGGGGGAGATCGTGTTATGTGGCGCAGCCTGGGGGAGGCCTACGTCCAGAAGTGGACTGCAACAGGCTGAAATGATGATGATGATTTTATTTTTTTTATTTTTCTATTTTCTGACTGACGTACTAAATAGAATTTCTTTTTTTTTATCCAGGCATCAACTATTGTGGCGATCTTAGCGCAGCAAAGTAGACATTCCCAAATTATGTATCTACAATAATATCTTGACGTGTATCTGTATGTCATATGGTGAAATAAGTAGCTCGTACTATAATGCCAAAAGAATGTAATAATAGAATGCTCATATTAACGCTTCATAAAATATGTCTAGAGTAATTGGTATTTTATTATTGGCCATTTTTTGCGACTTCCCGACATAGTACGGCTGCAATTTACGTGTAGTAATTTTCCGCAATTTTTTATGTCTTCCGTAATCATTGTTTCACTTCAATTAATTCGCATTAAATCTAAAATCAACAATCTCATCATGAAAGCTTATATCTAGCACTAGGTTTTAATTTATTTCCACGAAGTAAGAAATGAACAGAGTTATTATAATCTTTTTAGAATCATACTTCATATGGAACGAATGTCGCTTTAATTTATCCTATGAAGTTTTCACTTAATTAACAATTGTTAGGTAGTTCAGATAAACGATTCTATCTTCTACATTGGATCATGGCGCCTGCAGGCAAAAGACAAAATCCATGACAGTCTATCCAAAGCTGCACACATCCAGCGGCTTCTTGCAATCTTTATGAAATCGTAAGTCCACCTGGTGGGGACCCTACTTATTGAGTGTCATCTGGTACGTAGTCGTCATTCAAGAACTTTTCCGATACATTACTTTTATATTGTATCAATTTTTGAAGAATCCATAATGGAATTTCCTTTTATCATATTATCTTTTTTTGTAACTTCGACCATGGCGAAGTAAGCTCTCCAGAAAATCAAACGGAAAGTATGATTAGGAATCCTCAAGGATCTTACAGCGTTGCCGGGAGGAAAGATTACACTTTCACACTTATCAGTATTCGTTGATATATAGATTTGCCAGTTGGTAATATCCTAAAAATAACTTTTTGATAGATAAGGTTTTATTTATTTACGTTGATAGCAAATTGATAAGTAATATTGCGAAGGAGTGATTTTCCTTTGCTCTTATCATAAGTCTTTGTAATTCAAATTGATACGAAAAAATAAATTGTAGATAGCATACATTTTTCAGATCCAACATTTAGGAGCTAAAGACTTACTTCTTTAGTTTTTTACGACAAACAAATCACAAGGACCATTTTATTTTTAATATTGGCCCAAATGGGAAATAAAAACGGCGTAACACAACACTAATATTCCGAAACTACCGAACCGATTTCAAAAATTCTTTATGGTAATACTTAGGTATACGATAATACATATAAGATACGCAAGTGGGTTATACTTAGGTCTACGATAATACTCTGTAATTTAAAAATATATCATCTAAAATATCGAGTCATTGTGAATAACAACAGTGAGCAGTTACATAATCTCAATACCAATATTTCATAATAATTATACGTTTTTTCTACCTCCCATTAAGTAAACAAATCTCATTTTTATCTTGTATTGTTTTCACTTTATCTTTTTATTAGTTAGATAGAGCTGTATAAATACACTTGTTTAGGTTATTTTTTGGTATTGAATTACAACAGATTTTGTTAAGTGTTTTCTTAATAATTGTTAGTTATGTTTTATTTGATCTGCGACCATTTAAACTACGATATATGAGTCTCTACGACGACTGTATGCATATTAAATATCTGACTACATTATTGATATTGCTCAGATCTCATACGAAGTAGCTAAATCACTTGTATTATAGAAATCTGAAACGACGAAGGTATCACAACAATATATCATAGTGATTGATTAATCTGACTATTAACTGATAATATTGACTAAATCCTATATATTCCAAATGAAATTTTAAACGAGTAAAGTTGCAATATATGTTGGTATGCCAATACATCAACAAATATACTAAATACCTCGCACAGCCAAACTCTGGAACAGTTTGTCGCCAGCGGTATTTCCGGACCTATAGGTCCGGAAATACGACCTTCAAACTTTCAAGCGTAGAGCTTATTCGTCCCTCAAAGGCCGGCAGCGCGCTTGTAGCTCCTCTGGTGTTGCAGGTGTCCATGGGCGGCGGTAATCACTCACCATCAGGTGATCCGTCTGCTCGACTTCCACATATTCCATAAAAATAAAAAAAAAATGCATCCTGGGACTTCGGGTACCGTAAATTATAGCCTTTGTCACCAGCGTATGATGTAGCTTTCACTAAGAAAAATGTATTTTAAAATCGATCCAGTAGTATCCATAGACTATTCAATTTAGTCAAATTTATGAAATTAGCTTAGGTAATCAATAAATTAGAGATATTAATCGCTATAAATAATGTTAAATGAAATTCTTTATCAATCTTTATACTGTTATTGATTGCTTAAAGCGGAATTACCATCATGTACCTCGTTTTTATCGAGTTCTCGATATCTTGGCCCAGTTGCGAGCGCCATGATCGAGGAAGAGGCGCTTGCAAAAGTGCCATAAATATTGGGATCTCAATGAAAATTGATCACATTACACTAAATTTGTGTTTAATTAAAGCAACGTTAAAAATAATTTAACTACTTATATTATGTATGTGGTTGAATCCAACGGATGTTAATTAGAAAACTATGATATGTAGTAGTAGTTGATCAATTGTGCATGCCATTTATGATGTTCTGGGGGCAATTCTTCTAAATAAATTTTGTTTAAATCGAATCGAAATTACATTCCAGTTCTATTTTAGCTAGAATTGTATCGTATGTCACTTATTAGAATAGAAAAACTATTAAAAACTGTAGTTTCGTTCGGTTTCGATCCGTTTTCGATTCGATTTAAACAAAATTTATTTCGTAGAATTGGCCCCCTGATTTCTATAACACAATTGTGACAGATAGTAGAAGTACAGTGTTATATGTAAAGGGAGCTCGGTCTGCCAATAAACTGTTTACCAGTTTGGCGGAATGAAAAAAAAAAATTTTTTTTCTTTTTTTTTGTACTGCTTAAGTGAATAAACTTTTAATTATGATTATTATTTATTATTATAAGGTACAATGTAGCAATTTCGTTTTAACAACAATTACCATGTTAATGATTCTGTACATATATTTAATACAGAATACTGTTGTTACTTGTTTAAAAATCAAAAATAAAATATGTGACTAGTTAGTTCGTTGATATGTAACATAACTGATACAATGCCCTGTCTGTAACACGTCCGACTATTTTTATCACGTTCAAATTGTTATCTAGTCTAACATGAATATTGTCGGATCACTTGTTGATATAAAAGAATGCTAATGCTGTAACAGTGTTAGTCTGTGGTGAACGACCAGTGTGTGCACAATGTCCAAGAAATTATACTACTTTAATATCAATGGACTTGCTGAATCAATAAGGTACATTCTTCATTACGGTGGTCATGACTTCGAAGATATAAGATACGATCGCTCTAAATGGCCTATTCAAAGTGTGATAGACAGTGAGTACTTCCTCATGTTTCGCATGTATATTTAGATAATTTATCTAGAGACTCACGACGACTTTTTGGAGTCTATGTGCTATACATATGGCGTTTTGCTCTTGAAACCAGTTTTCGATATATTATCAACTTTATTGTGCTCTGTCCTATTTTATGATATTGAAGATAGATACGTAACTTAAATAGGAACACACGATGAAAAGTCCACGATATTGTCCAAGTCAAATGGCGCTTTTAAAAGTACAGAACAGAGTTTCAACTGTTTTGTTAACTTCAGTGGGTATAGACATGATCTACGAGTATATTAGGACGAGTTTTGCCAAAACAAGTCTATTCATTTTCAGATTCAAGAATGTAGACGTCTTTTTTCAGTTCTGTAGTGCTAATTGGTTAACAATATATTAATGAATGGAGGAATGAATTAATGAATCATTCTTTACTGCTCCTATAAAGAATTTCTTAAACACCAATAACAGGAAAGGATAACACAAACAAATAGTAAAATCGGCAGCTATAACGTCGAACGCAGCGTTGAGCACAGGTTCAATCAAATGAAACCGATTTTAAACGGCCATTAAGGTTTTGTTGGTATAGGTTTGTGAGAGAAAAGTCATATCAGCAATAAGTCCGACTATTGCAGAATAATTATTTTAAGTTCTTATTGTCTTTTCAACCAACTTCAAAAAGAAAAGGATACGATTATAATGTTAGACGACGATGTACGTTTTCTATTGAATGTACGTTTACCGATATATCTTCCAATTTTTGACCAATTTTCAAAATCCTTTTTTATTCGACAGCTTAATAGACCAAGTTAGCCCCGTTTAAATTTTATCGAAATCGCAACAGTAGTTTTCCTTTTATAACATAACAAAATACACTTTTCATCAGATATCACCTAAATATTTAGATGATATGTTTATTTGAGCTAAAAAAACAATAAGATTGCGTATTTACGATTCATTCAAAATCAGAAAGGAGGATTATTTTTGTTCAATGAGTTTGTATACTTTCATCAATTCATTCTACTCGTGGGCTGTCCAATAAAGAGCTTTTATCTTATATACATCTTTTAATGTCTTCAGTATATTCTCGTTCCAACCAAAACCTTTGACAAAAATATGACTATGAAGAAAACCAGATAAGACGATTTATTATTAGCAAAAAGACTCTCGGACATATTAAAATATACTTTGTATTTTGAATTGCCCATCATTGCACCAGGAAACATCAATAAATCATCAGATAGCTGAACCCTTCAAAATAATCTTTATCTTCGCAATCAAAATCTAAAGATATGATGTCTTTATGGATAAGGCTTTAAGATAAGCAGGTGCATTTATATAATCTTTTTATAGGTGTGGTGGTTATCTTTGGTCTTTATCATGATAAAAATAAAGGCCAATAATTATCATGATAAAGGCCAAAGAATAATAGTGCATGCTCAAAATTAATCTATTTATCAAGTCTTTGGTGCCATCTTTGTTGGCTCTTGGTGGCCGCATGGTGTATTCATAGCACTTTATTTCCAAGTAGTCGGCTTCCGTCCTAGTAGCTCGGTAGTGTAAAGGATAAGCGCCGCGGTCCGAAATCGTTGTTGTTAAGCAACTTTTGCAAGGGTCGGTTACGGAATGGGTGACCAAAAATTTACTATCTCGAACTCCTCCGTGTTTCGGTAGGCACATTGGGCCGGCGGGAGGGTCATGGCCCATCCTTCTTAACCATCTATAAGGAAAGCCTGAACCTGGGTCGTTAAAGAGTTGATGAAGATGAGGCCTGTGTCCTACCAGTTAAGATATTATAGGATAATAATGATTTATTTATGAGGGGCTCAATGGCGCAGCGGTTAATGCGCTTGGTTTGAAATACAATTGTTAAGCAACTTTCCCTATGGTTGGTTATGGGATGGGTGACCAAAAATTTACTGTCTCGAACTCCTCCGTGCTTCGGAAGATACGTTAAGCCGATGGTCTGAGCTACATCTGCAGCCGTTAACACCCACCAATTCGAAGTGGTTCCGCGTTGTGGGTTATGGCCCATTCTCCTTATTCGATTCCATTCATAGGTGAGGCCTGAGTCACAGCAGTGAGGTCATTAATAGTTCAGTGATAACGATGATGAAATACTTATATTCTTTTCAGCACTTCCATACGGCCAGGTCCCCCTTTATGAAGAAAATGGAAAGAAATTGAACCAATCTTTGGCTATTGCTCGTTATGTAGCCAGTCAATCGGGACTACTACCTTCAGGCTTGTGGGAGCAGGCTGTTTTAGATGCAGCTGTACACAATATTTATGACTTCTGGAATAAGAACAGTAAGAACACTATATTATTATCAACTTTATTATAACAAGACCGTTCAAAAGGATATTCATTACAAAACTTAGGCGTTCCTTTTATTAATCTGCGATGGGAGATCACGTAATAGAAACTAGTGGCCTAACTGCACAATTTTCAAATCTATCACAATAATTTTCAATTTGATATTGGAAAGATATTCACAAACTTCACGCTACAACTATTTGACATGTGATGGCTAATGTGATCGCAACGTTTTTTTTGAAAGATATTGAATGACCGATAACTTTTATTTGATGTTAATATGAATTGTCTAAACAGAGTGATAGTTGCAAAATAGTTACAAATATCTGGAAACTATCAAATGAAATAAATAGTCTATGACATTTATATTATTCAAATCATTAATCATTCCAAAAGCGAATGTGACTTTAAAAGTTACATAATTCCATAAAACACTACCATAACCGCTATACGTTTGAAAGTTATTGTGATAGATTTTAAGATTAGAGAATTAGGCCACTGAACTCCGGTAATTGAAAGACTGACGAGATGAGATGAGAGATGAAGGTGGTGATCCTTATGCCCTTGTTGTTTCTTTTATTCCTATAATTCAATTAGGTTTGTTGTAATTTATAAATATCATTATCTGCACACAGATATCAGGGAATACATGTATGCGGATGCTGAACGGAAAGCTGCTATGAAGAAGCAAGTTTTAGAGGAGCTCGTGCCCTTTTACTTTTCTAGATTTGAAAACGAACTCAAGTCTAACAATGGACATTTTGGTGGAAAGGTAAAGTAACATTAAAACAAATGTAACCGCTGATTGAAGTGATAATTCAATTTTCGATGGCCATTTCAACTTGTTCAACATTTTTAACGTATTTGTATATCTTAATTTATAGTACATTAAAGTCATCTTAAGAATGTTTTACTCCAAAGATATGCTATGGTACGTTATTATGGGTCCATCCATAAAGAATAACACTGGATTTCACTCAAGTATGTTTTTAAAGGAGAGGATCCATGAATGGTTACGAATTACATCTTTATGTGCAAAGCAGAGTACCATAACTTCCATGGACTTCTATGCAGACGATATATTACGAATCTGCTTGAATTCCTCGCACAACTAACACATCTTTGATGGGAATTCACCACATTTAATCGATTTAAATATTAACAAAAAAAAAGAATAATCAGACCAAGAATTTCATTTTTTCAGTTGACATGGGCCGACTTTATTTTTGTCGGTATCATCGAGACAGCGAATCTCTTCTACAGCGAAAACATCGAAAATAACTATCCCACAGTCGCTTCTCTAGTCAAGACTGTTCAAAATCTACCCAGAGTTAAAGAATACATATCTAAACGAGGTCCTTACGGAATATAAATAAACCTTTTTTAAACCATTTGTTTTTTTTTTTGTTATTATAGATATCTTTTTTCAACATGATTGTTATATTCTATAAAGTATAATAGAGGCAGTGGACGTCTTATGGCTGACGATGATAAGTAGTTCTTTAAGGGAAATATTTTGCCGTAAAAAGTAGAAACAATTAGGAGCTCTGCGATACGTCATACCATAGTAATAATAATAATATTTATTGACAACTCCAAATTACAAAATTCTCTTATACTATTTAGTTGCCACAAAGACAATAAATATAGGTTTTTATTGAATAAGAGTATAACGTTTACAGCTGTTCAAGTATGAATTGTGTAACAGCTGTCAGCGCTCCCACCCAAGATACATACATATTAAAGACATTTATATTCTTAAAAAAAAAGTAATGATACTATGCCACAGAATTCTTTTCAAACAACTACATTTTTCTTATTTTATTACACAGATAAATATATTTATTAGAATAACACAAAAACATTTTTTTTTTGTGTAATGTATGTAATGTATAGTCAATAATGTATTGGGGTCTGCAGCCCTTCTAAGTTTTTTCAATATGGGGATAAGTTTCCTTATGCGACCTGTTATACTTATAATATATGTAGACCAACTCAGGAATGTGGCAACTGTTAAACCCAAGTATTTAAGATTCGTTGTGGTTGTTAGGGGAGATTAGGAGCATTTTGACTTATCCGTAAAACTGTGGACTTTAATGTTGAATCCATCATAAGGACGGCAGCTATCACGTCAACAAAATGTAAGATATTTAGTTTTGACAACGATTAACGTTAAGATATTGCTGTCTTCTCAAAGCACTCTCAGCACAGCTCTTTGCTTCTTCCCAATCCCTCCCATTTACAATAAGTACTGTGTCATCTGCATGTGCGATAGTTTTGCAATTTAAAAGTGATTTTAAACACACTGTTTATATACACGAGAAAGAGAGTGGGACAGAGAACGCTGCCTTGTGGAACTCCAAAAGACAGGCTCGTTGAGGTTCTCCAATAATCTCCTATCTTAATACATTGGGTACGGTGTAAAGGATAACTCCGAAAAATATCAAGAGTGGCACAGAAACCGTGTCAAGAGCCTTGTTAAGATCTAAAAAGATACCTATAATTTTTTCTTCTTTTTTTGGCGACAGTTTCAGTAAGTAACAGAATTGCATCTTCAGTACTTTCCTGTCGTGCATACATACTGATTTTTCGCAATTGCACTATTATGCTCCAAGAAATTAGTAAGTCTATTATTTAGAATTTTTGACACAACACTCAAGTTGGATATAGGTTTGTAGTTACCGACACAGTTTCTATCCCTACTTTTGTAAATGGGACGGACGAGTATCTCTTCTAGCTAACCATGACGTGGCAGAGTAAAATATAAGACACGATGTGAAGTAATACGATATCACCGCTAAGAAAGAAGACTGGTCTAGGATTGTCCAAACCAATTCGGATTTGCCCATTAGGTAATGGGTCAGTTTGACAGATCATTTAAAACTTGATCTTGAAATTTTTTTTTTAAGTTTTCAGTTTCTTGATAGATTTAAAAGTTACAGTCAAGATATGAACATGATTCAATGAAACTTATTATAATAAAAGTCAGAAATTAGTCTCAAGCATACGTTATGGTTAGTTTAGTTATTGATTTGTACATTTGTTGACAATAATGTGAGAATTATATGAGAGTAGAAAAGAGTAAGAAAAGAGTAGTAAAACGGTCTAATGGTTACAAAAGCTATAGGCAGCAGAAATGAAAGTGGATATGGAGAATCAGCTGAAACTTAAATAAAAGGCAAAGTATACCAGTCATCCGCCTTAAATTAATACATTCAAACTTACACCCATTTAGGGGTGTTGGAGGGTTGAGTACGCTTTGGTATGCGGCGCTGAGCTATAGACTCTTCCCTCAAGTCCACCATACACGTCCGCGTCGTACACCCTGGAAATGTTTTGGGATCGCAACGGGCGCCGCATACTTACCATCTACCCCGGACCCCAAAGCAGCCAAGTATGGGGACGATGTCTGCAATGGCAGTCCCACCTTGCAGGCAGTCCTGAACCCTCAATCCCGTCATAATTCCAACAATCCCATCCCTCCCATTCCCCTCCTAACCTTTCCTTCCATCCTATCTCTAATCTTTCCGGGAGGAGACAACCTCGACTCCAAAAACCCCAATCCAAGGTGTCAATCGTACCGTGCCGAGGGATGAATGGCTGAGGGTATCAGTCTCAAACGGTGTCTCTCCGAAACCAGGGTGAATCGGAGTAGTAAATAACCCTTCGGGCGACATGCGGGGCTCTGTCGTTCGTGACCTTTTATTTCCCTAGCTACTCGTGGGTACAACATGGAAAAGGATAAAAATAATCAAATTAGCCTAAACCCTATGTCTTCCGTTCTGGAATCCATCCAGGACGGAATGAACCGTGATGAGGCGAAGAGGACTGCAAAGGACTCTGGAACGCCCATCAGTCTATCCCCTACAACGGAGGTGGAAGTCGTGGTCGAAGGAGGCAACTCTGGATCGCCCGACGCCCCATCCGAAGTAGAGGATACGAGCCAAGGCAGTCAGCGCAAGCGACTGTCTGGAGCAGCACGGAAGCGTCTCCGGAAGTTAGTGGCAGAAGCAGGGGTAGCTACAGAGCAAGCCCTTGTGTTATGCCGCAAGCCATGGAAAGACATTCCGATACCGAAGCCGACCTCTGTGAAGACCCTCAAGAGGGACAGATCAGAGGAAGACTCTCCTAAGGCGCACATCAATAAAGTCGCCAAGTTAAGCCCTACAGCCACAGGCGGCCCAAAGCCCCTTAGCTATAGGGAGATGGCGGAGACCTCCAGAGTGGGGATCCGGAATTCGGAACCCATGACGGAAGCCCAGATGGCGCTCGTACATCGTCACCTCATCGTGGCCCTAACAAAAATGGACGCGGAGGGCGATGGACCTGAATTTGTCGGTTTCAGCCACAGGACAGGATGGATACTGGTAACCTGCGCGAACCAGTATAGCCATGACTGGCTTGTGGCTGTAACACCAAAAATGAAGCCATGGCCTGAAGCTCAGCTGACCACCATGTCGGAGAGCGAGCTTCCAAGGCCATCTACGGCAACAACGTTTGTACCCAAGACGGAGGCTGCCTCAGTTACTGAGGCATTAGCCCTGTTGAGGGTACAGAATAAAGGCATAAATCCTGGACTCTGGAGGGTCCTAAACGAGAAGGAGGAAGAAGGAGGAAGGCTTGTCACCTTCTCCATCGACGAACCTTCCGTTGAAGCCCTCAAAGAGAAGGATTACTGGGTGACCCTCGGATTTAAGAGGGTTTACTTCAAGATCAAGGGCGACCATCAGGCCCCTCAGCATCTACAGTCTTCCTCCGAACCCCCTCCTGCCGCCGAACCAACGCCGTCGACCAGCGGAACACAGAAACCCCAGGGCTCACAACCTCGGGGTGGAAGAGCGCCGGTGGTCGTGGGCGGGGGCCGGCGAGGGAAGGGTAAGCATGCAGCTGGAGTGGCAAAACCCCAAAACCCGAACGCTAAAGCGCGACCAACGCCTCTAGCGGGGGGATCACGGGGTGCCGCGAAAGCTGCCAAACGGGGGAAATAAAATGGCCAACCAGGGGGCTCGGGCAAGGGTTCTGCAAGCAAACCTCCAACACGCCGCTGCTGCATCCGCAGTAGTGGAACAGTGCTTTGCAGAACGAAAGGTCGACCTTGCCCTGATTCAAGAACCCTGGGTGCATAACTCAACCATACTGGGACTCAAAGCCGCTGGTAAGGTACTTTATAACATTGATGGCTTGAAACCCAGGGCGTGTATTGTTTTCAGCAAAAACACTAACTATTTGCCTGTTACAGAGTTGTGCACAGATGACCTTGTAGCAGCATTTGTCAATCTCAAGGGATGGCACGGGCCCAGAGTGCTCGTGTGCTCGGCCTACCTGCCCGGAGATAAAGCTGACCCGACTGCTGAGCTCACACCCGTGGTCGACTACGCCCGGAGACACCATGCTGAGCTGCTTGTGGGGTGCGATGCGAACGCCCACCACACCGACTGGGGAAGTACAAACATTAATAACAGAGGTGAGTTATTAAACAATTACCTAGTAACCAATTGTCTTCAAACTTTAAACAATGGCTGTGAACCAACTTTTGTAACTAGGACGAGACAAGAAGTGCTAGATATTTCTTTCGCCACTTACAACCTGGCCAGGCATGTAGAAAACTGGAGGGTTAGTAACGAAAACTCAGTGTCAGACCATAGGCATATATGCTTAGAACTAACATCAGAACTAAGTACACATACTAGTGCATTTAGGGACCCTAAGCGCACCGACTGGGATGAATACAACAAACACCTTGTTCGGAACTTAGAAGTAATTCCTAAATGCATTAGAACGGTTGAGAACATTGAATTCGCGGTAGAGGCGGTCTCTAATGGCATTAAAGATGCCTTCGAGGCTAGCTGTACACCCAAAATCAAATCATCCAAAAGGAAAGTACCGTGGTGGAACTCAAAGCTGAAAAAACTTAGGGAGGAAACACGAAAGTTATTCAATAGGGCTAAAATCACCCATGAATGGGATGCCTACAGGATGGCCCTAAACGAATACAGTAAACAAATTAGAAAAGCCAAGCGTGCATCATGGAGGAAGTTCTGCGAGGAGATAACTAACACGCCTCAAGGAGCAAGACTTCATAAGATCATGGCAAAGGCACACTGTAATCCCTTAGGTCTCCTTAAAAGACCGAACGGGTCCTTCACGACTAACGAGAAGGAAACCTTGCAGCTAATGGCTATCACCCATTTTCCGGGATCTACTGATAATGCAGTAGCGATCACTCTTCGAAGGCCTCTACCAGAGGACTGGAGAAGAGCCGCTCTCGTTATTAGGCCTGGAATAGTGAAATGGGCCATTAACTCGTTTAAACCTTTTAAATCTGGTGGAATTGACGGCGTAGTCCCTGTGCTTTTACAACGGGGTGCCGCC